TGTCAGAGGCTATAAGGATGACACAGGACAGCACAAGGCTAGGATAGGATGGTTATTCATAGGGTCACTATGAGTAGTATTCTACTCGATGGTACCTAACAACAAAGAGGATGACTGACAAACATGGCAGGTTTCCCCAAGAAATGCTCAACAGGACTGGATGAACACTAACCAGAAAGCATACAGGATCTCAAACAAATATTGGGTGTTTGGATCAGATAAATCTGGATGTTTCTTTCAGTTCTGATACTTGCTGTACATTCTCTAGTCGAATAATGGATTTGAATTTTGTAGGAATATGTGCATAACTATAAACATTTTTTAACTCTGTTTATTTGATAGCTGTAAGAAAGACTTAGAACATTTACTAGAGGGAAAAATATACAACAAATATATAAACTTCAGAGAACAACTGTGTGACCTTGGAAATGTGCCCACAGTGAACCAGGCACACCAAGGTACGTGCTTTAGCTGGAACAGTCACACGCTGCTCAACATCTTCAGCGTATTCAATGGAAAACTACCTTCTCAATTTTCCAAAGCAACCTGCTGAGCTTGATTTATCTGCAACAAGCTTATCTATATGAGGAGAATTTGTTAAAATTACTCTCTATGAGAGTCAGTATAGTAAAAGCTATGATTTTCCAACTACAATCCGTATGTGAGATTTTGGGAAAGCTGAAAGAAGTAAGGGGTGATTTGGTAGCAGTTTCTGAAACATGGTTTTCATGTCCACAAATTGCTGCCGAATAATGTAATGGTACTTGTTACAGCAGAACACTAACAGGAAAGAGCCAGAAATCCAAGTGGAATTCAAAAGGGGATGTAGAAGAAGGGATGTCATTGTAGTCAGATGGAGCTTGGCTGGAAGTAGAGAATGCCAGAAAGATGTTTACCTGTATTTTATTGACCATGCCATGGCATTTATTAATATTGTGAAGAATGGGAATTTCAGAACACCTCATTGTGCTTATGTGGAATCTGTATAGAAAGAGGCAGTCATTCAAACAGAACAAAGGGTTATTGAGTGGCTTAAACTTTTTTCAAACAGTGTGTACTAGGGTTGCATTCTTTCACTGTATTTATTCATTGTGCAAATTAAACAAATAATACAGAAACTGGGATATGTGGAGAATGAGGCACCAGAATTAGAGAACTCATCCACAACCTGCAATATGCAGATGATACAATATTGTTGCTGAAAGTGAAGAAAACTTAAACTATGTACTGATGACAATCAAAGACCTTCAGTGTGGATTAAAGCTCAATATAAAGGAAACAAAAATCCTCACAACTGGACCATCATAAAAGGAGAAAACATTGAAGTTGAGGATTTCACTTTACTGGGCCCCACAATCAAGACCCACAGAAGCAACTATCAAGAAATGAAACACACTGAGCAAATCTGCTGGAAAAGGTTAGTATTTAAAATGTTATAAAACAAAGTCATCACTCTAAGGACTAAGATGCCAATTAATCTAAGCCATGACTCATTCAATCATCTCACATGCAAGCAAAAGATCAACAGTGAACGGAGGAAATGGAAGAATTGCTGCAGTTGCATTACAGTGTTGTGGTGAGTATTACAGCCAGTGATAATGGTGTTATCATTGGCAGGTGCCATCGAGTTGTCTGAGACTGTAATCCTATGAACAACAGAACCTTGCCTTATTTTGCACCATCCTCATCATCGATGATATGCTTACTCCATTGTTAAAGTCACTGTGCTAAGTCATTTGGTGGGGCTTTTTAATTTCTCTGACTCTTGTCTTTTCCCAAGGTCTGGCCTCTCTTGATTACATGACCAAAGTATGTAAGACAACAATTCTGACTCACTGTCCCGTGACTTCCCCTGGTTGCCCTCCCTCCAACCCTTGCACTTAAAGTGTCCTGGGTGTACTTCAAGACAGACTTGTTTGTTCTTTTGGCTGGCCAAGGCATATTCAATACTCTTTTCTAACATCACAATTCAAAAGCATTGATTCTTCTGTCATTCTTATTCATTGCTGTTGTTCTGTGTCATTGAGTGGGAACCAAGTCATAGCTGACTCCCCATTGGTTTTTCTGAGGCAGTTAATTGCAGGGGAGTAGATTGTCCATCTTCCTCCTCAAAGGTCGAAGCCTTTGGGTTGACAGCACAATTCTGCCAAGAGCTCTAGGGCACCATAAACTGCACAGAGAGATGGCATGCTTACTCTCAGGGGTTCATCCTCATCCTCATCCTTCTACAACCTTGAGAAGCAGCACAGATTACCCCTGGATTCTCTAAAGCTTCCTCAGAACCTCAGCAGAGTTTTGTGAATGAGGCAGCTCTGGTGGTCTAGTGCTAAGAAGCTGCTGTGCCACAATTCCAAAGGCACATCGGTTGAATCCATCAGCCACTGGAGGGAAAAGGATGGGGAGTCTCCTCCAGACTAATTTACTGCCTCTGAAAACCCGCTGGAGGGTCAGCTATGGGTCGGTTCGACTCAATGGTGCACAACAACAAAAAGACAGGGTGAGAGGGAGCTCTAGTGGCCTAGTGGCAATGAACTGCACCGCCAACAGGAAGATATGCAGAATTCAAATCCACTAGCCTCTCAGTGGAAGGCAGATGGGACAAACTCCACACCAGAAGCTTCCAAATAAAAGAGGTTGTTGTTGTTGTTATGTGCCATTGAGTCACTTGCGACTCATAGTGACCCTATGTACAAGAGCTCTAAATGCTGTTCTATCCTGTGCCAACCTAGCCATCTCAAACACACTTATTCCCACACTCAAACGCACTTATTCTCCAGTCACTGAATCGATCCATCTCACTAAAGATCTTCCTCTCCTTCGCTGCCCCTCCACTCTGCCAAACATGATGTCCCTCTCCAAGGACCAGTCCCTCTTTGCAACATGCCCCAAATATGTCAGAGGAAGCTTCAGAATCCTTGACTCCAGGGAACACTCTGGCTTCACCCTCTCCAGGACAAACCTGTTTGTTCTCCTAGCAGTCCATGGTATATTTAACACTCTTCTCCAGCACCATAGCTCAAAGGCATCAATCCTCTTTCTATAAACCCTATTCACTGTCCAACTCTCTGATGCATAGCACCTAATTGCGAAGACTATAGCCCGGATCAGGCGCACCTTAGTCTCCAGCCTGACATCGTTGCTCTTCAGTACTCTTGAGAGGTCCCTCACAGACGACTTTCCCAATGCAATTTCTTTTATAAGAAACATAAACGCAGGCTATACACATGGGTCTCACCTGATGGTATGCATAGGAATCAAATATATTACATTTGTGGAAAGACTCGGTGGAGAAGCTCAATATCAGCAGTGAAAACCAGGCCGGGTGCTGATTGTGGCACAGACCACCAACTACTCATATGCAAGTTCAAGCTGAAGTTGAGGAAAATTAAATCAAGTCCATGTGAACCAAAATTTGATCTTCAGTCTATCCCACTTGAATTTCAAAACCATCTCAGGAACAGGTTTGAAGCCTTGAGCACCAATGAGCATAGACCAAATGAGCTCTGGGAGGATATCAAGAAAATCATGCATGAAGAATGCAAAAGATTGTTATAAAGGCTGAAAAAGAAAAGACCAAGATGGATGACCGATGAGACTCTGAATATTGCATTAGAGCCCCGAGAAGCCAAAGCTAAAGGAAGAAACCAAGAAATCAAAGAGCTAAACAGAAAATTAAAAAAGGCAGCCCGGGACGATAAAACAAGATACTATAATGAAATGTGCAGAGAGCTGGAGTCAGAAAATCAAAAGGGCAGACCTCGCTCAGCGTTTCTTAAGCTGAAGGAGCTGAAAAACATTCAAACCACGGATGGCAATACTTAGGGATACTTTGGGCAGTATATTAAATGATCCAGAAAGTATCAAGAGAAGATGGAAGGAATCCACAGAGTCACAGTATCAGAAGGAATTGGCTGACAGAAGAATTTCATGAAATGACACATGAGCAAGAGCCTATGGTGATGAAAGAAGAAGTTCAAATTGCTCTGAAGGAATTGGCAAGAAACAAGGCTCCAGGAGTTGACGGCATACCAATTCACATATTTCAATAAACAGACACTGGCCTGGATGTGCTCACCAAGTTGTGCCAAGAAATTTGGAGAACACCCAGCTGGCCCACTGACTGGAAAAGATCGATATTTGTTCCCATTCCAAAGAAAGGTGACCCAACAGAGTGTGGAAATTATCGAACAATATCATTGATATCGCATGCAAGCAAGATTCTGCTGAAAATGATACAAAAATAAAAGAGGTAGAACATTTAAAAAGTAGAGAACGTGGTTTCCGTAAGCTTGGCTCCAAGGCAAGGAGCAGACCTTGGCTTTTGGGGGTAACGGGCGGAGTGTAGTGTGGTGGTAGTGACCCATAGCTGACCTTCCAGCGGGTTTTCAGAGGCACAGGAGGAGACTGACCATCTTTCCCTTGCAGAGCTGCTGGTGGATTCGAATCACTAACCTTGGTGACTACAGACAGTTCCTCGGTTGCTGTTTCTGTCCTCGCCTTCCCAAGTTAACATGGTTTGTGAACTCCTCGGTGGGAATCCATCTCTGCTCTGTGCAACGCCACGCTGGGGCACCCGGGGACAAGCAGGCGGCCGGTCGGCGGGTGGCTGCATGGGGCCCAGCCTTCCTGCACCGGGAAAGGGGCCTCGGCGGCGCGCTCGCACGTAATTAACCGCGGCCGCAGGAGGCCCGGCGCCCAGACAGCTGCAGGCGCGCGGGTTTCCCATTGGCCGCGGCTCCAGGTCCTGCCGCGCCCCTTATCTCGGCGCAGCGCCGCCCGGAGGTGCCAAGCGCGTGTCCGGCGCGCGCTCCAGGGGCTCCGCGCCCACGGACCCAGCCCCGCCCCTTCGACGCCCCCGCCGCGCGCCCCCGAGCTTGAGTAGTGGCGCGCTTGCTTCCTCGGGAGTGCGCGCCCGGCTGCCGTCCTCCCCGCGCGCCCGCTGCTGGCCTGCGGGAGCCCGGGGAGGGGGACGCGGGCGGGGGAGCCGGGGCCACCGCTGCCGCTGCCGCCGAGGTTACTGTCTCGCTCCCGCGCGCAGTGGCGGCAGCAGAGGTCGCGCACAGATGCGGGTGAGACCGGTGGAGGTAGGAGATGGAGGAGGAGAGGAAGCTGCATGCATGAGACCCACAGGTAAGCCGGAGCCCCGGAAGGCGCTTTCCAGTCCGGGGAGGAGTGCGCAGGCCGGGGGAGGGGACTTGTTACTTGCTTGTGCTCCCCAAGAAAGGGATTTTTAAAAAATTTTTATTGAGAAGGGGATCGCGTGGAGAAATCTCTGTGGGGATGTGGCACCTTGGGAAAGCCTGAGAAGTAGCAGGGGGCATCTGGTGCCACCGCGCCAGAACCGCAAGAGTGAAAATGTGTAGGCCTCGAGAAAAGTGGCGGCACAGCCTTGAGATGCTGGCAGACTGTGGACTTTCCTGCCATGGTCACCACAGCAGAGCCACTGTGCGCCACCCTCTGCCCTCCCCCGTCCTCCATCCCTCCTGCACGCGCAGCATCCCGAGGCGACCGCTAGTGTTCTCTGCGCGGGGAGGGGGGGGCGGAGCTCGCCGTGGGAAAGGGGACGGGGCCGCGCGGGGGAGGAGTGAAATGGTGACCTAGGAGCCGGGGTGCTGGCTCCCAGGGTCAAGGCGGGGGAGCGTGGCCCGCCAGCCCGGGCAGCCTGGGACATTGACGCGTTCTCCTCCTGGTGCAGACGCTTGCAAGCCGGATGCCCTCTGTGGATGAAAGATGTATTATGGAATGAACCCGAGCAATGGAGATGGATTTCTAGAGCAGCAGCCGCATCCCCAGTTCCCCCCTAGAATCTTGGCTGTGATCTTGTGGTTTCAGCTGGCGCTATGCTTCGGCCCTGCACAGCTCACGGGTGGTGAGTGACTGATGGGACTGGGGGCTGGGGGGGGGCTAGAACAGTCCTGGCAGGGGGCACCCTGCTCCCCTGACATCTAGTAATACTTTAGGGATTGCCTGAGGGCTGGAGGGTCCCTGTATCCCAGCCCGGGCCCATCCTCTTTAAAACCTCCATAGCTTCCAGAAACTCCTCCCCCCCGCCCCGACACACACCATTGCCTACCCTTGGTTTAACTTGAACTTCCCACCATCTGGCCTCTCAAAAAGAGAGATAACAAATCCTGGCTCATTTGTTGCACACTTTGGTCAAGAGAAAGCAACAGTGGTGCCTTTGCGGTTGAAGATATATTTGTGACCTTCTGTTCCTTGCCTACCAGACAGATCTGGTTTCTCCACCTCAGATGTAGGCGAGAGTTGCAAGGGTGGGAAGGGTCAGGAACCATGGCCTGGGGAATTGAAGGACCAGTTTGTTTGAAAGTGAACTTTCTCTTGGGTTTTTGTGTGCACCAGTGTGTTGGGACAGGGAGGCAGAGGTTCCCCCTTCAGCTGTGTTTAGAAGATTACTTTGCCTACCTAGCACTGATTTACAGAGGAGAGGAAAAGAAGTCAGGTGGTCTTTTCTGAAGGGGATCTTTACTGAAATAAAATTAACAGCCTCAGCTTCTGGAGGTGCCTAATCTATAACCTGCTTGGTTTTGAGGGAGGCAGCTACGATTTGATTGTGGTAGAGGAAGTTCCTGTCAGAATTTCCAAGCCTGAGGATCTCCCAGCCTTCGTCATCATGCTTGTCAGTGCTGTCTGTTCCATATTTTCTGCAAAGCTTGCTCATGTGGACCTGGCTAAAGGATCATGTTTCCAGAACCATGTTTCTGGAACCGAATGACTGTTAGTATATAAATAAGTATATAAAGGGTAGAAAATAAAATGTTGGGTGATAATAAAGAAACCATTTTGAGTGTTAGAAATATTGCTGTTTTTAGAGCATTTGAAGGCACAGTTGGAAAATGCCAGTGAACTAGTAGGGATGAAGAATGTGCCCAACAAGTTGGGCTTTAACATGGAGTAATCAATAGCAAAGTATTCCATTTAGAAGCCTGCCTGGGATATAGAGATTCATGTGGTGATGTGAGTGCCTGGTAGAATTAGCCAAAAGACACTTTATGAGACACCTGGTTTTCCCCTTGTTTTGTGACAAGGAGTAACTTTTCTGGTACTTTTATTTTGAGAGACAGGCCTTCTCTTCATAAAAGCAAAGGTAGCATGTGCATCTGGCCCTGGCTCTGTCCTGCCTGGAACGTTACCTCTGCCTCATGGGTGAGAGAGCACCCTGGGCAGAGCAGGGTTGAGTGGGGCTGGGACGTTTTCACCCCCTTCCCTTGCCTCTCCCTTATCTGTCATCTCCACATACCAAATCCCTATGGTTTCCTATCTTTGTGGTTTCTTTCCCCCATGAAGATGACAGGTTAGTGTATCAGGGCTCATTCGCTTATGTCCTGACAGTTCTTATTGGCTGCATGAGGCATGGGTGGAGGCCTGCAGAACAGAACTCCGTGCTCTTCTATTGCTTTTTCCAGCGCTTCTTCCTCTAGGATCTCGAAGTCCTGGGAAGTGCAGGGCCCCTTTGCTGAAATCCCTGAAGTCCTATGCACCGCAGGGCTCCTTTGCTGAAATTCCTGCAGTGCTTCTCTTTCTCTTCCCAGAAAGGAATGCTTCACACAGACAATTCCAAACCTTGTGGAGGAAAGTTGCTGTTGAGTTGTGGTGTTGGGAAGAGTACTGCATATCTCATGGACTGCCAAAAGGGCAGGAGGAGCCAGTCCTTGGAAAAAGATGTCATCAGACTTCATGCCTGGAAGAGGAAGGAAAGGAGAGAGTGGGCATTGGCTCTCACCTCTAGGTCAGAGAACTCCTTTTGAGGTGCTCATGCACTGCAGAAGGTCTCTTGAAGGCTGAGAGTGAATTTTGGAAGAATATACACAATTTCAGATTCTTTTCTCTGACTAAACAGCTTGGGTCATAGAAGATGTTCTATGGAATTCTTTATATAAAGATATTTTCTGTCTCACATACTTCAAGCATGTTGTTGATAAGGGTCGGTTCTTGGAGAAGGACATCATGCTTGAAAAGGTAAAAGACAGGAAGACCCTCAACAAGATGCTTTGGCCTGGTAACTATAACAAGTAGGCTCTAGTGTATCAGAGATTGTGAGGATGTCACAGGGTAGAGCAAGGTTCAGATTCGTTGTTCATGGGGTCACTAGGAGTCTCAATCAACACCTGATGACAACAACCACCACCTTTCATCAAATGGGGGTAACCCATGTCAAAGCTCTACGACAGAATAAAAGCCATTTAGAACGGTCCTTTTAAAACCTGAATGTGCACATTTATCATCTGAAGACCTTGTGAAATGCAGATTCTCATTCATTCATCCTGAGATGGAGCCTATGAATCCATACTTCTAACCAACACATGGTAGAGGTTTTTGCTACTGGTCCACTGAGACCTTACTTTGATTAGTAAGGCTTTAGACAAAGCCTTTTTTAAAAGAATTTGGCTCCAATGCTGTACTTGCTGTCATCGCTCTTAGTCACCAAAGTCAAATGCCATTGGTGGACGATGCCTCCTGCAGTACCCAGTGTCTGGGTGTACGTGGAGCTGAAAACCAGCCCTCAGAAAGAGCTTCTTTTAATTTCTTTTCCATCCATGGAAAGGTGCATATTTTATAGACATTGTCTGAAATGTGGACTCCCACTTTTGATTACTTTCAATGGAAAAGGAATGCTGCAACTGCAGGATATAATGGTCTCAGCTGGGGGGGGGGAAGACATGTGTCCAATACCAGCATTATAGGAAAAGCTGTAATAGGAAAGGAACATGATCAGAGGAGGGAAAGAGAGGAGGGAAACCTCCCATCAATAACAAGCTGTGGTGCCCTAGAAAGCTACAGATTTACTTCAATTCTTTTGAGCAGCCCCTAGAGATTTCATGAGCTCCAGACGGCCTGAGGTGACTTGTGGGCAGCCCTCTCCTGGTTGTCTTTTGTAAATTAGGGACAAAAAGAGTCCTCCTCTGGGTCCTCCATGACCAAATAATCAGAGAGGATGAATTCTGGGTTTTTAGGGAGGTACAATAAGACTTTAGGGGGTCACTGTGTAAGGCATGGTTTCAGCTGTTCATTTCCTCCTCCACCGGTGGCCAGCTGGCCAGCTGAGGGCTGCCTGGAGTGGAGTGTCCCACCAGGCATGCCTGAGGACAGCCAATGGTTTACTCTTTAAGTCAGTCCTTGGAGGCCGACTCATTTGCACATTCCTAAATGACCCTCAATGAGATCAATTGATACAGTGACTGTAACAATAGGTTTAAGTATATCAGAGATGATGAGGATGGCACAGGAGACGGCAAGGTTCAGATCTGTTGTTCATAGGATTGCTATGTGTGTGTGTTGTGTACCATTGTGTCAGAACTGACTCATAACTGACCTTCAGTGGGTTTTCTGAGGCAATTTAATTGTACAGGAGGAGATTGTCCATCTTTCTACCATGGAACAGCTGGTAGCTTTGAACCACCTGCTTTCAGGATTGTAACACAGCTCCTTACCACTAGACCACCAGATCTGAGTCGTGGTCAATTCTGTGTCACCTAACAACAACAAATGATCAGAGGTTCAAGGGACTTGACGCCTAGCTTTGCCTCTTGATTGCTTTGGGGCCTTGGGAGTCTCAGTTTTTGAGTCTATAAAATGAGGTTGCTGCTGAGCTTTTTGTGTGAGGTTTGTGTGAGGGATGGAAATCAAGTTGTTCTTGTTAGGTGCTGTCGAGCTGACTGACTGATGTTGACTCATGTACAAAAGATCAGAATCTGCCTGATGCTGCACCATCCTCACAACCTCTTCTGTGCTGAAGCCCACAGGTGCAGCATTCTGCCACCGTGTCCCTTGAGAGTCTTCCTCTCGCTTGCTGGCCCTCTACTTTTCCAAGTATGATATCCTTTTAAGGACTGGCCATCCTGACAACATGCCCAAAGTGCATGAGATGAAGCCTTGCCTCTAAGGAGCGCGCTGGCTACATTCTTTTCCAAGACAGATTTGTTTGTTCTTTTGACTGTCCATGGTATGGTATACTCCTCACTAACACCACAATTCAAGGACATCATGTAGGTATTTAGTAAATAACTTCTTGTGGCAGGGAGATTTTGCTTTAATCTTCATACTTTAACTTCATTAACTCAGTGAGTATTACTGAGTATCTCTCCTCACCTTGTGCTAAGTACTGTTGCATATATGCTGCTTTTACCTGGAAGAACTCTCCTTTACATTTGACTTTTTTCCCCGAGTCAACTAATTTTAAGTTCCACCTTAAATGCCACCATCTCTTTACTTTTTCCTTGGTTAGTAAGTTTTCCTGTTGCCTGGACTCTTCTCTTTCTGCTGTTGACATTGTTGGTGTCACTGAACTAGTACTCACAGCGACACGCTGAATAAAGCTCTGCACCTGGCCCTATTATGCACCGGCCCCACGGTCTCTGTAATAACTGTAGTAGTCATCATGTCAATCCATCTCATTGAGGATTTTCCTCTTTTTCTCTGACCTCTGTCCTTCCCACATGATATCTCTCTTCAAGGACTAATTCCTCCTGAAAAATACACCCAAAGTAAGTGAGAGGAAGTTTCACTATGGTTGTACTTCCTTCAAGACAGGTTTGTTTGTTCTTTTGGCAGGCCATGGGGTAGTCAATACTCTCCACCTTCTATCACAGCATAATCTTATTGCCTAAACTGTAACCGCATTGGGAGGCAAGACTCGGGACATTATTCTTTCTGATGCATCAGACACCCAGTATCATGTAGTGTGTCAGGAACTACGAGAATATCTCAGGATAGGTCAGGGTTCAGATCTGTTGCTCATAGGGTTGTTATGGGTCATACTCCACTTGACAGCACCTAAAACAACAACAAACAAAAACAACATCATATGATTTAATGAGGCATTAGTGGTTCAGGATGAATTCTTATCTGTTT